TAGCCGTAGCAGCATTTAACCAGACGACGTCTGCTGTCTAACGCTATGGATGGCTGGGGGTCTAATGTCAAACCTAACGTTCGAATATAATGCGAATGTTGGTCGGATCGTGCACAGAGCTAAAAGCGGTAAACGAGTTAAAATAAAGACTTGCGTTATTGCTCGTTGTGATTTTAAATGTGCCTTACGGACATCATTGCTGCCGATTCTGTTGCCAAAAGTGCTCAAAGTAAACTATATAGAGCAAATAACCGTTTGCTCCACAAGGGACTTAATGCTATTGAATCACTTTTTTGTACGCCTACAGTCATCGAATGTTATCTTGTGCCAACACATTCGCGCATAAGTGTTCATATCGTTTTTGCGTTGGCCATAAAGATGAGCTTCACCATGGTCGCTCTTTGTCTCCAAAACACTTTTATACTTGACCATCATTGTTTTCAAGCACTGCAAACCAGTGGAATTCTCAGGTCGAACAACGTTCGCATCGCGTGTTGATTCATAAGTTCTGCTTGCATCAGCCGCTGGCGCGGAATCTGGGTGGCAATTCTTGACAGGTTCCAGAGATCTTTCAGACGAAGAATCACCTGGAAGCTTATGTAGTTCAGGATGAGCCAGCGATTTCTTTTTACTCGCGTTGTCAAATTGCCACGATGTTGCGCTGTAGCTGTTAACCTCATTGATCATAGGAACATCAATTTTACTCGATCCACGCGTTTCAGGCCATGATACATCTTTTGATTGCAAAGGCCCGACTTTTGCGTCAGAGTCGTAATCCTGTGTCGAGATCCTTCCCCTAAGGCCATTATGATCGCCTATCTTCTTTGGTGATAAGGTTCTACGAATGGCAGCGTATCCTTTATCCGTCATAGGCTTCTCGTCATTGTAAAGATTATCATCTTTTCTTTTTTCGTTACCGCAATGTTGAGACATATTGAGAAGTGACGTATTCCCCCCGCCAGATAGGGCATCGAAAAAAGACCTCACAAGGTCGATTCGAAGCACCCCTACAGTTTTATATGAAGATGAAGGAGACTCATTTGAATAGTTTTGGTAGTTTACAGAAGTGCGGGAGCCTTCAGTGTTTGCAACTATACCACTTAAAATTTTACCTGTGACAATTTCTTCGGAAACTTCAATTCCCATAGATGTAGACAACAGCTTTTGACGTATGCACTGAGATACGCAACTTGAATCCTCTTTAGTGAAATTACTGGAATATATCAGCCTCCAATGATCTCCCCTTTCAGTTCTCAATTCGGACTTACGCCAACTCACAGATCGTGCTGGGTTAGTGATCAAATCTACGTATCCAGGCGCTAAATTCTGTCTTATACGCAAACCTAGAATCTCCATCTTAATCCTAAAATGTCAAACAGATATATAAACCCCGTACCCATTCATGTCACAGCCGTTTGGTCGGATTTTTATCAAATTCTATGACGGAATTTTCACCATTCAGCTTCTGTTAAGAAACATTATGTCGATCGAAACTAATGATAAATCAACACGTTAAATGAAAGAGTCGTCAGAAGCAATTATTAAACGATATCGATATTTCTTACAATTACCTATTTAGCAGACTTCATAGGAGCCTAATAGGCCTATCAACCACAGAATGGATGATCCACCGCTGAAATCGCATTAACTAAATCTCTTTATTAGCAATATAGGATACCAGTAGGGCACCATGATATGAATTTAGTACAAGAAAAATCAGCAGTGATTTCGCAACATGGAATTTTCCAGTTAGACAGTTTGCTGTGAATGTATAAAAAAGCACCCCAACCATTAACTACCATCCACGTGTCATCACCACATCTTATATATTTCATTTATGTCAGTGTTCTTCATGGTACGCCATCTAAATGGATCCCTCGGAGCCGCTGAGACCAGCTGAGGAGAAAAGCATTTTTTAGAGATGGAAAGAGATTGCCAACAATCACGCAATCTGAGACACCAATTTATGTTAGTGACCGTTTCTATAGGTATACGCTTTCATAATATTTTAAATATCGGTTCATTGGGGAAATTCCGATAGATTACAAAGAAACATGTCGGCACATGTTTACGCCACGTCTGTGAGTCAAGAAAATGATTCTGTTGATGTAGTCCAGCATAGCAGCTAGTATACGAACCGAAAAAAAGATATGAAATGGAGAAAGAAAAGCCACTCATTGCTTGTATAACTTCCAACTGCATATTAGTGATTTAATTTGATGCTTCGAGCGATTTGCAATGGACCAAACGTCAGCAATACCGGAAAATAGTAATGTTTGTATTGTTGTACAATCTTTGTGTATGTAACGCCTATTTCGGCACGTGCGATGAATTCCGGACACGAGTAACATAGGTGGAGACCGGTTTGATCGAATAAGCGTTACACATTAAGAAATCGACGACAGCTAATGTTAGTATGTTAGTTTATTACCGTCATTGCCTTACGTGGACCGAAAATGACGTAGTTGGATATACGCCCACATCTCATTAACCCATGTGTGGGTTCGTAGACTGAAAATATCCTTTAAGCATACGGTCTTTCCCCCTTGAAAGTAGAACCAGGGCACGAAGCCTTAATATTCGCGCGTATTTTATCTAAAGCCAAAATTAGAACTCGTAGCCGCATGGACCGAAAGAAATCACGCTCTATACCACTACGGATTCCATGCCTAACTTCCATACTTCTAAGTTCACTGCCGTAATTACGTCACCCACAAGGAGATATATGACCACAGGTACTCAGGTATAATACCATGGCAAGGCCTTAGCAAGCATATGCCCGAGTCTCGACACATGGACACTGCCGGCCCTAGGTTTTTTGAAATGACTACAGCGACGCGAATTCGGTTGCGACTTTATCGGTTACTCACAGCAATGACGTGACAGAATCGGTAACATTTACTTCTTACAATATGAAACAACTCACGGTCTCACGGCTGTATAGGAATCTTCCCACAGGATCAGCTCTAAGGAATATCACACTTGGAGCATTATCACACGCGGTAACAACACCCCGCAAAGATATATGTTTGAGTTCGCAAGCGGGTACCAACGTCAACACGGCAGAGGGCTATGGAGGTAGGTTTCACCAGCACAACTTAACAGGTGGTCGCAGTGCTTTCCATCACACAATATACACGTTACCCGGAACTTCAAGGTACAATACCATCGTCTAACACAACTACAGGCTCAATAAAGTGCCATGCTGCGAATAACATGATAAAGAATCTTGCATCACGGGGGGATTTGAGCGGTGCGGTCAAATTGATCTCAGACATGAGATCATTGGGACATAGCATTACAAAAGAAACTTACCAGAGCCTCTTGCTAGGTTGCACAAACACCCATACGGTGGAAACAGCTCGTTACATATATTTATGCTTAATAGCAGATGGCCTTTCACCTGGTTTGGAAACATACACCCTTTTGATTAAGGCTCATGTCTCTGCTGGTGACCTTTCGAGCGCATTCACTCTTTACAGGAAAATGGAAAAGGAGGGCTTAGAAGCTGATTTGAACGTGTTCACTGTCTTGATTGAGGGTTTGATTGCTAAAGGTCACACCGAAAATGCATGGAGACTTTATAACTACATACGAACATGGAGGCTTATTGAGCCAAACGAAACCTTATTTACTACAATGATCAGGGCCTGTGTGCCATCCAAAAATGCAGAAAAGGCAATGATGCTATATGAAGAAATGCAACAAATGGAGATTTGCCCAACGACTGATACCTACGAAGCATTGATACACTGTCTCTCACGAAGACGGGCCTACGCACATAAATGTTTCGTTTTTTATAACCTAGTGAAATCCAATGAAGCTGCAATTACTTACAACACCTTTTTATACCTTTTTAGGGTATGTTTCACAGTGAAAGCACGCATTTCTTCCAGGCTTGCGAAACGCTCGGAAATACGAGGAAGGCGAAGGACATTTTACAGTACGCCTCTGCGCTGGGAATCACTGTGGATACGACGTTGGCAATAGCGATAGCCAGAGCACTAATGAGTGATTTAAGAACCTCTGATTCTTCATTCCACAAAATTTCATGCATAAGAAAGGCATGGAACGTAATACATTCTCTACTACCGTTGAAGAGGCAGGAAACATCAAAACTCCTTAATACTCTCATCGAACTATATGAGATAGCGGGATACTATGACTACGCACTGGACGTGGTAAGTTACTTTCCACGACTCGAAGCAAAGCCCGATCGCGACACTTACTCCATTCTTTTGAGGTGAGATATCTGCATCTATTTTTTCATTCGTTAAAGGATATTAGCGGAACGGTTGCAGGACCCAGGTCGGTTTTTCGCTTTATGGAGCAGGGCACGATCCACCATTATCCCCGATAGGGACTTATTAAATATGGCACTCAAAATGGCAATGATTTCAAACTCGTCCAAGAGAACTGTGGACATTCTGGAACAAATGTACACCTACAAAGTCTACCCCTCATCGGAGTTGATGCATATGCTTTACTCAAGAGGGAAACATGTGAGTCAAGTCCACGTAATGATAAACAAGCTAACGGACTTGCACAAATCACAAACGTATGAAAGGAAAAAAAATGAGTCTCAAATGACACAAACATTTATCGAAGAAAACAGATTGCGCCGTGTTAGGTGACAACTAATTATTTTCAAAAGTGCAACTCTATATGGCACGCCAAGTTAGCGTCCTCGTTTAACATTCCGCAGACATCACTCACATGGGACTGTAGTACATTAGTAAGTCCGAAACATCGCCAATGCCTTGACTCGATAGCTTTAGCGCTAACACGCTGATGTTTTTTACTGGAATGTGCGGGGGAGGCACGACTTTTTTCACTATACTCACAAAGGGAATGTTTTTCAGGCAACAGGCATGGGGGATGTGCTGTATCATACTGTTGCATACATTCCCTTTAAACAATACTACCAATGCAACATCTTCGTTACTTTCTATTGCGTGGGTCGTCGAATTCACTCCCCAATATCCTGCGTTTTTAGCTGCTTCCCAATCCATGCCAAAGTTCCTGAGAAAATTGATCCACAATTTGATTAGCTAACCACTTTAAGCACATTATTATGCGCTCCTGATGCGCCAACTCGGCTATGTGCCTTCGTCACATGAAATAGTCTTAGTAGATATACCACGCACCAGTTCAATGAATTTTGTCTTGCCAAAGAGAGTTTAGGACGCCCATTACTTCCTTTAAACAAGGATACGCTCTTAACTACAGTTTTGTGCGAGCTGTTCATTGCCTCAAATTGTATACTTGGGTGCTCGGTAAGACATCTGCAGAGTTTGCCCCTGGGTAACTGTGTAAAAAGAAAAGCGCATGACTACCTTGATCACGGTACTTGTTGGCTAGATCCAGAAAATCCTGGGTGCAGGCCATCTCCGCTCTGTAATATTGATACCTAATGCTGTATGCTTTCGTTCATTTCCAGACTAACTTGCAGCGGGGGTTATCTTCATCCAGTTCTTTGCAACAACGACAAAATAGTGCGTATCTCAGTCTACAATAGTTCCACTGAGTGTGTTGAAGATTTCTGGGGTCCTGAAAAAAATGCTAAAGCCAATGGAAAGCGACTTACGCCTACGTGCGGATTATCGACGTTATAGTGATCATATGACTCCCAAAACTGTAAATCCTTGGGAGACACTACACTCATTCTCCTTTCATTCATTTTGATATGCGAGACCGGTGCCAATGGGTTCGAGAGGCGAACGAGGCCACACCCTTATTCGACGCGTCTATGGGGATTGCGCCTCGAGGTTCCTAAGACAAGTACAAACATACGCAAACCGGATAGTCGGCGTAGCGATGCCAATATACTGTGTTTTCATCAGGTTGACATGAGGCTTTAATGGGTGTATGCATACCAGCCACATGATTGTCTGATCTAACGTGATTGGGGAACACATCGCGGTGATTGCGTATGTGTTTTTCAAAGAACTAACCCGTTGAAAAGAGCTCTATAAGATTGATAAGGTAGCATATTTCTGTAATGTGAATGGAATTCAGCGTACGAGTGACACTTTTCGTATGTGACTGTCGGCGTTAAGATTAAACCCAAGTACCCACACATTAAATCCACGTCTATAGTTAACTATAAATATCGACTGCGAATACCGTACAACGCGACGGGTCAGTTTCTTCTTTTCCGGCCGAAGGTGGCGGACGTCTTCCATGTGCTATTCCGCGCTTCTCCATTGAGCTCTAGGTGTGTAAACAGGAAATGTGTTCAACATATGTATTTATCAATGCAAAAAATCATTTTTCGGTGTTGCAGCGCTCCTCACTGACTTGCGTTGGAGTTACTGTTCACTAGGCGTATGTGCTCTGCACGGAATCGGCAATTAAAACTACAAATGACAGGTCTTAGCGAAAGGTTATTAAAGCCATGACCGATGAACACGTGTCTGGTATATTGGGTTATAATTCATACGATTTACTTGCTGGCGTTTGACGCCTGCTGCTTTAGCTGTCGTCCAAATCCCCTTGCCAATGGCGCATCCTTCATTGGACTTTTGAGACCTCAATGGACGCAGTCAGCCACGCAGAATAGCTTCACACTGGAATCCTTATTCAATGGAGGCCAAAGCTTTGCAAGAACGCGTTCATGGAACAATATAAAAAAACATTTTCTTTTTAACAAAAGAGGCGCAACTTCGCATACTCTATACAATGCCAACCGCGACTTGAGACTAGATCATTCAGCGTTGAACAAAAATATGCTATTGGAAAAATTTGGAATTGATCTAGGATACATGGGACAGGAGATTTACGAGTGGCTATGGCCGAAGCGTAGCTCTAACACTGTAGCAAAGGTCAAGTATTCACGTTAGTGTTGTAACATTTTTACAGCATAAAGGAAAACTGGATTCCGTGAACCAAGGGGGCTACTTGCCACGAACTAATAGACGCACGTCGGAACACCTTTCCGACGCAGTTTTACGTTCTACTGCGGCAGAATACAATTATAATCTACATAGGTACCTCCTACACAATTATGGTAATGCACAAAGAGTTTTGCATTCATTGCGCAGCACAGGAAACGGTTGTGGACATATATAGAAGAATTGCATTTCACATGAGGATATCCCCCAGGGTGCTTGCACGAGAAGTGGCAGCGCTGACGGGAAGATTTGGAATAAACATTCTTCAACCTGACAGTAAGTCGTTTGTTCATATGTCAGCTCTTGTTTCCCAATTTGTCTGTGCATAACCCATAGAACCCATTCAGAGGACGAGTACGGGAAAACCATACAAGCTGACATTTTGTGTCTGCGAAGGGTAAAGGCAAAAATTTATTCTCTGCTTGGCCGTAAGCTTTTGAAGTATCACATGCTGCTCTTCTTACGTTACATTAAATTAGGTATTCCTCCAGAGATACGTGAACGCTATGTTTCGGATATACTAACGCGCACCAACATTTCACATGTATGTGAAATGTTCTGTGGTAATGTGGAGCATTCGCAAATGATTTTGCCCCAAGATCGAAAATTTTCAATAAAACAAGAGGCGGCAAAAACTTTGACATATCCGGAACGTGTAGATTTCGATTCTCAGGGATATCCTTATTCTGCGGAAGTATTCTCATTGGCCGATGTGGGATCGTCTCCCTCTCAACTTGTACATCCGAAAGTATATAAATACCTCAACAAACGGTCGAGGTCCAAGCTTGTATATATATTTGCTGCGCTGAATCCGCAATGTGGTCTGCAGATCATTAAACATATTGTTAGCTCTGCAGGTTACAAATGTGAGCGTGACCTGCTGCTAAACTTTTGTTTAGGTTCGAATTTTGGCTCCAGGGGTGCCAAAGCATTTGTATCGAAATTAAAGGAAGAAAGAATAAGTGATCATTACATAAGTAAGGCGGCGCAGCTCGCAACAGGGGGAAAAATGCATTACTGTGTTAGTGACGCTCTGGTGATTTTACAGGATTCGCCATATGTATCTGGTTTGATCAAACGGCATATAGATTCAGGGCGCAAAGTTATGCCAATTAGTACTGCCCGTATGATTTTCAAAAGGATACGTAATAACGTTGAGTTACAACCTCAAGACATGACTCTCTGGGATGTGATGCGCAAATTTATCGCATTGAGGGTGCCAAATGCCCCGCTCCATCTCTACAAGCAAGTCAGAATGGAAATTTTTGCAAACGAAACGTACATCTCACCCAACTTAAAGCGTTGTCTGAAACGGCGTGGGATCGAAGCCGACGGAATCACGGAGTTGTACACAACTCAAAGGGGTAACACACAGGATGTGGATTACTCCACAAGATCTCGCGCAGCAAAGGTGATACGCCGCGACCTCAGACAACTATGGATCAGCGCAGCCAACTCGTCTAAGATCGAAATGGAAAGAATAGGATTGGATATCATCGACGCAATGGTGGCCGCGGCTGGCTACGGCACCCTGAATAATCTTATTGTACTCGTCACGATGCTATCTAAACTGCCCGATGACAACAATGAGCGACGATGCCGCCAACCAGGTCCAGATTTCGAGCACTCACCACTGCTAGAGATGAAGGACTTCAAGTTCAAAAAATTTCAAGATTATAGCACGATACCAGACTCATGACTTCTGCGTAATATCAACGTAAGCGATCTCACAACCAAAAGTTTCAATGCACATGCGTACACTCTTAATTATGATTGAACTACATAAGTTTTCGGTACAAAACACAGGTGAATTGTTCACCATGGTCTCATTGAAAGCAATAAAATTTACAGATCTGACGGAATGTGTTTCATTGCACACAAAGAAAACAAAATCCAGTTGAGACCTATCATGTATCTGCAAACCATGCATGACGCAATATTTCTTCAATATTGAGTCGTTTAACGACATCTATATGTAACATTCCTCGCAGCAAATCTTTTAGTTCTGGTGAGACGTCTCTGTAGTCGAGGAAGTGCAGTGGGTTGTGTAACATGTCAATTAGTAATTCAATGCATCCAGTTCCTTTGTACGGCAGTATCCCATAAATCATCGTATAAAGCACCACCCCCAACGAAAAAACGTCTCGTTTAACGCCGGATATCCCGCCTCCAACATGCTGTAGTGATTCAGGGCTGCAAAACGCCGCAGTGCCCTCCCCGTCGAATATTAGTGGTTCAGATTCGCCTACTCTCAGTTCCCCAACACTAGCTACACCGAAATCCGCTATGACAACGGAAGGGACATATTGTCTATGATTCTTCTCAACACCGGGGAATTCTTGTAGAGCCGCTCTACGGTCTTCATTTCTAAAGGCGATTGCCGCAGCTGCCAACAACTCGTGTTTCCTGTAAGGCAAATCAAGATTATTCCCCAATAAAAAGAAATCTACCATTGAAGATGTGCTTCCATTACAGACCGTAACCACTTGTTTTGCGAATTCGAGAGCGGACAGCCCGATTCGCATAATCTCGCTCCCTTCTATATCGTCCATTATTACATCACACACTATTGGGTATCCAGACGACCAATTCAGAGTGTAGTCATTTGACAAGGAATTTTGATACGGGAAGTGTTTCCCAACCACTTCAGCCAGTTCGATGTCACAATACGACAACGATGTATTTGTCATTAAAAATTCTTTCACATACGCCACAATCTCTTCTTTTGGCACACCGCTGTATTGTTCCCGCTCTTCGACTAACGACTTATCGACAGACATAGGGACGTATTCGGTCGAAGGTACCTTCACGGTTTCGTAGGCAGATGCCACAACTCCATTAATGAGTATATTTTCGGGTTTGAGATCCTTATGGATGATTCCTACAGAGTGAATATAGGAAACTGTGCGTAAGATATCTTTCATGATTATTTTAGCATCCTGTTCTAGGTATAGGTTCAGGGCACATGATACTGCATCGTTTTGATTAGGGTCCTTTCGATCCAATGGTGGTGCTGTATACGCTTTGACATTTGTGTCGAAGTACAATATTTGTGCAGGATAACAATCCATAACTAAATAGAATACATCATTTTCAATATTAACAATCACTTCATGGATTGTACACACTCCTGGGTGAATAGCTATTGAGGAATGATAGAGCACTTCATCAACCACTTTATCTAAGAGCGAAATTACTTCCACTTCGTCCCCGTAACAGCGTATTGCTCTTTCTTTTCTGAACGATTCTATATAATAAGCTTTGATGCAACAAAACTGTTTAGATACTACGTCAAAGCATGACCAGATAGCGGCTGTGTTGGTTTGCGTTATTTTCGACTGGAAAAAATATTGATTTACAGCATGACCCACAATCGTAACATCTTGCAAAATTTTTGCATTCAAGTGATGTTGAAGATCCTTGGATAAATCTGTTAGGGTACAAGTAGGCCACTCAGTGCCATAACATATCTTTATAGGTCTCCAACATATACACTTTGTGACGACTTTAATATCAGACTGCTCCAATCTTTTCACAAGTTCGATCATGAATCTGTTCATCTTTCATGTGAAATTAGTGCTGCGTGGCATTCTTCATAAAAGGTATATATTGTGTAATGCCGTCGCAGATCCTTTATCCCTCATTGCAGGGAGCCATATTGTAACATATAGGCACCAAATTAGCCCATACAAACCCAGACACGCTCAACAGTGGAGGTGTTCAATATTAAATCACATACAGTTGTAAATCCGGCTTTTGTTAGAATAATGTAATTACTACCATGTGCCATTAGCCGGGAGGAATTTTGCGATTATGTCAAAACTGAGATACTTAACGACAGTTATATTATTCCAAAATGGCGAACGCTTCGCTTTGAGTCGTTGGGTTGCGAAATTCTGTGCAGCAAAGTCCAACATATCACGTCATAGATGAATTTCCTCGTTGCCGTGACTTTCGAAAGTCTATAGTGTCGTTTTTTTTGGCATGTCAGAGATCAAAATAGACAGTTGGTAACCGAATACATGGTTTTTAACGTAGGCTCGCAACGCAGAGCCGAAAAAGAGCCGGGAAACTCGGGCACTGTTGACAAGGGATCAACACACGACAAATGAGCAACGTATGTCACGACATCAAGTATAGCACGTCAAAAGGGCGATACTTCAGACGTTAAAATTCAGGAGACACACGACCCTGATCCGCCTTACACATGATTGCCAGCGCAACGCGCTACCGTGGGTCGTGTTGATCTTTTGCTTTTCCTTGGCCATGGTAATTCGAAAATACGACGCAAAATATTTGTATACAAAAATAAATGGCGATTTTTCGAGACGTTCATCACCTCCGTCAGGTCTGCAAAAATTTGACCAATAACAATACGGACAAGCGCCTGCAAGATTTTTTTTTCCAACGAACGTATCGGATGTGGTTCAACGATTCTACTCAATATGTGTATTACTTGTTAAGTGCTGTGACAATCGGCGTCAGTATCGTAGTTGGCTTCCACGAATTGGACGGCAATCCGGACGTAACGTAAGTGCATTCGTTTCATCATGTGCACCGGAGCAAATATAAAAACAATGTACGGCAAGCTGTTTCCATCTGTACAATAGTTGGACTTATACAACTATTGACGTGATAAAGGGTCTGAGGAAACCTTTGTTCATTTGACCGTTACCAGTACACCTGTACGCTTTAGGTTGATAGTTTTTCTCTCCACTCCCACCCTTTATCTGCAGTGTACATGTGAACAAGCGCGGCATGCTAAATTTACCCCGCAATGTGCATTTTTTTACTTTTTAAACGTTTTTCAGTGGGAGGGCTCGCCACTTAAGAATGCAACTTCCGGACAGACTGATGCTACACGCCCATGCCATTCCATATTACAACCACTCTTTGAGGTATCATTTCTCTACGATGATATATCTAATAGGCTTTATTAGGAATTTCGCCATGAAGTTCACTGCATCTTTGGTGGATAATGAGCACGATTACAGCAAGGAGACGACACACGGTAAGCAGTTTTTGTGAACTTATGGCATTTACATTTGTGGAAACATACTCATAACGAGCTCAGCATACCGACCTAATCGATCTAAGCATTACGGGAGGTACCCTTTTGTTGTCAGTGCTCCCAGGTACTTCGTTGATTGTCCGGAACATGAGGATACCTTACACCAAAATGTTGAACATAGGTACAAGGTTGGTTTATATTGTAACAAAATGCACTGGTCACAGTCTATTGGATACTACGATTTTACCACGTAACGTGGACTTTTGAAAGTACGAACACACAAATGTACGAAGTCACAGATTGCATTGCGCAGTCAAATTACGCCCTTAAATTTTATTTTATCAACGCCATGTAGCATTGTGTGATGGTTTAATCACCAGTACGTTGTCTCGTGCTACAACGTGTGCAGTTGGCAGAGGGCCGGACTGCTATGCCCTAGAACGGCTGCTGGTATGTTCTCGGTGAGCTGTGTTCATCTGAAGTCCCATAATGCTGCGTATAAGACATCTGCGATTGCAGCACTTGGTTAGGTTGTACACTGCTTTGCAAATCTCCCTCTGTAAACGCCATAGTGCCTTGTATAATGGGATGCGATTCGGCACAGTGTTGCAGCATCTGCATTGGTACTTTGCTAACGTGACCATTTTGCAGAATGTGACCGCCCAAAGGCACACTCTTGGAGTACCGCATCATAGTATTTACGGTGGGAACCCCGTGACATTGTAGCATCTGCTGAGAGGGTGACCCTATTATACGACCATGAGCAGCAGGGTTCATCATAAAACGTTGTGCTCCCGTATGGTATATATTGTGGTGCCCTATGGCTCCATGACCTTGTCCAATTGCCAAAGCCCCTGGAGCGTATCCGTCTCTCGGTTTATTTAGACTGTTTATCATAGGACAAGTTCGTCCATCGTTTACATGGTTCATGCCGTTAAAGTGTAAAACACTACCAGCTTTTGGTTCCATCTTTGGATACAGTTCCTCCGGCGTGAATATATCCAACATAAAATTGTAAATGCTGTTTTTAAAAATAGCTGCTGCTACATCTTGCCTTTGCAGGGTACATCTTCTAGTAGTAAGGGTGCAATCCCACGACTGTAACGTAAGATCCTTAATGAGCATCTCACACGCTTTTGCCAAGAGTACTGGAGCATCTGCAGCTATCATACCTGGATGTTCCCCCTCCTTCATGATCTTTTTAATGCGAGCGATGGGTAGATTAGTCCCCTTGTTTGAAGTAAACACGTCGCCACCAATAGATGAGCGATCCGATCCAGGTAATTCATTTTGTTTGGCTTGCCAGTCAAAGATCTCATCCTTTTGTTCAATATCCACACAATCGGACATGGTTCCTAAGTTTTTTGTGGAATGCTTCCAACTATGGAGTATATACGACGAAAGTCCGAAAAATCTTCCGGCTCACTTTTAACCACATTTAAAAATAATGTAAAATTCCAATACCATGATAAAATTAACGCCGAAAAGTTGCGCATCTCACTTGAATGCGAAGCCGGTGCCACACTGTGTGTTCAATCGGGGTTCATTATTAAATCAAACGATGGAAATACATATTCCAACGGAGCATTTCATAAAAAACGAAATTATTTAACGTGATGTATCTCCGTAGAGGCATCTATAGATGAGCTTTTAAACCTCAAGTCGCGAGGTGACTCAAGAAGAGCACAGGAAAGCGCTGCGGAACTGATAACGCAACTTTCGTGTGTCCGCAAGCAAACATTACGATCCATAGGTATATAATTAATGACAACGAATTACCGTGCGCTTTTGAGCGTGAACAATGCTATTGCTATCGGGATGCTGCGTTCAAAGTTGTTTATACAACAGCGTAACTTCTCGAATTGCCCTCATTGACATCTTTGATTACGCATGAGAGTGCAAGATTCAGTCTAGTGCGTAATATCAAAGGTGGTATGCGAGGGTGAGAGGTGACATTGGTATTATGTGTATTTTATGGCGAATAAATTCTTGTTTCTATACACACCAGATTCTTTGGCGAGTTATAAAATTGCTGTAACATTCCGGTGTGAATCGCCACTCTTAACCTTGAGTTGGTGTATACTGGAGTGCGCGTCTCTCGTTTGTAGACCTCAGAGGGCTGTGCGTGATGGAACTGTTAATCATTCCACCAGCCTATATGAAAGTTTATCAATGCTGCAAATGATATAGTTCCCTACATTTTGACTGGCTATGGTCATTGAGGGAAATGATGTCTACGAATGCCCACCCTGTGTTAGACGTGGCAATGACAGAGCAACCGTCTATTATCGATGCGCCCTACCATGATAACCAATTACATACTGCCAGTTGCAACACATTAACAGTGATATATTGATAGCCTTGTACACTTTAGGTATTTCTGTCGTGGAAGGGTAAGACAATGCGTGTTGTGACAGACTTCCCGCAAAGTCCTTATGCCACCCTCCCTAGGCACCGATATATAACAAAGAATCAGCTGCGTGGTCTAGGATCGAAAGGTTTGTGCGACTTGTTCTCTATCTATTAAGGTCACAGCGTCAGCCACACCGACGGAAAAAAAAATTCAACACATTGAAGCTTCGTCTCACGCAGACATAGAAAGCGTTGAATGTGATGATATTGGTACATTAAAATGGTGTTCGAGGATATGCGAAGACATTGCCAAGCAACTCAGGGTCCCAGGTTTCAGGGTTTTGGGCCATGTGATCGCCACACTGAAACACGACAACAGTGATGTAATTGCTGCAACTCTAGTGGATAAGCTAGGATTTGAGTACGCTGATTTTATAACTCAAGTGATACAGTTTCGTAAAAACCTATTTCAGCAATGGACAACACAGTTGCAATTACTAGGCCAAAACTTTCTGCAGAACAGAATGGCCGAAAGTGACCGTACACAAATCGAATCTCTTCTACTACGTTTCACAGGAAAGGGATCGGAATACCACCGAGGAACTATGTCCTTAGGCTTATCTTCCATACCACCAGAAGAACTCCTGAAATCGCGTATTGCAAACCCGCACGTAGCTTTAACGTTAGGAATCGCAACACATGGTCACTATACTAAAGAATTGAATATTGAGCGTGAAGCTAATGAGGTGTTCGATAAGGCGATTATACCGCCGGTAAAGAATTCCATTGTTGCGGTTGGTTGCTCATTTTTTTAACCAGATGATCAACAGAATGATGAGGATCTCATACCAATAGATTCATTACCGCATTGGGCGCAAAGTGCATTTTGTGGCATTCACAGGCTCAATACTATTCAATCTGCGGTCTACGATACGGCCTTCAGGACGTCATACAATATGTTGCTGGCGGCACCTACAGGTACTCCTGGTACCGTCACAAATATATTTTCCTAGGGTGCGGGAAGACAAATGTCGCTTTGCTCTGCGCTTTGCAGAATTTTGATTCATTTTTTACAAGTGGTAATAAGAAGGGTAAGGTTGTATACATTGCTCCTATGAAGGCCCTTGCGGCGGAAGTATCATCTAAATTTTCGAAGGCATTAGTGCAGTTGGGACTCAGTGTGCGTGAGGTCACCGGTGACACTCAAATCCCAATGCAAGATCTTCTCTCTACTGACATACTTGTAACTACACCGGAGAAGTTTGACGTTATCACGAGGAATTCGAGTACAACCGGAACACAGTCAGATGACTCTTTCCTCGCTAAAGTTAGCTGCCTGATAATAGACGAAGTACACTTGTTAAACGACGTACGCGGTTCCGTTTTGGAGATAGTTGTCGCAAGATTGCTGAGGTAATCTATTCACGTTGAGTCAAATATGCATACAGGCTAATTGAATCTACGCAAGTTACAAGAAGGATAGTAGCGATATCCGCTACCCTACCAAACTGGCAGGATGTGGCACAATTCTTAAGGGTCGCGCCAGAGAATGCATATTATTTCGGTCCGGAGTATAGGCATGTACCACTTGGGCAAATATTTTACGGGTATGCCACGTACTGTTGAAAACACGATTGTGCAGGGTCAAGTCCCGAGATGCTTCCGCCGCTATGATGGACATTTGTTTTGACCATGTGATAGAAACGCTCGAGAATGGTAAACAGTGCCTTATATTCGTACATTCCAGAAACGAAACATCGTCCACAGCGGCAACACTAATCGAGATGATCCAATGTTCATCGAAGCAGAGCCTATTCCAGCCAAACCGTGATCTGTACAAGCGATTCCACAAACAACTAGAGGCATCGAGGCACAAAGGCCTAAGTAGATTTGCCGAATATTGCTTGGCTATTCACCATGCTGGTATGGTGAGGAGGGACCGTGATTCTGTGGAGACAATGTTCAAGGAGGGTTTTATAAAGGTCTTGATTTGCACATCCACTTTAGCATGGGGAGTGAACCTTCCAGCAAATTGTGTCATTGTTAAGGGTACATTTGTGGGAGGGATGGGAGTAGACCGTCATATCAACTACTTAGAATTGACTCAAATCATGGGAAGGGCAGGACGTCCTCAATTCGATACATCTGGTACAGGTGTCCTGATAACGGAGCACAAGAACTTAAATGATTACATAAAGATGCAAACCGAGCAATTACCTATAGAGTCACAATTGCATCGTCACTTGGAAAATGCTTTGAACGCAGAGATTGTGTTAGGGACGGTTGTGGACGAGTCAGATGCAGTTACCTGGTTGCGGTATACGTTTTTATATGTGAGAATGCGAAAAAACACCTTGAAGTACGGTTTGAAAGGTAACACAGAGGACAAAGTCTTGAGCCATTTACACAAAATAATCCGTGATGCCGCTCTAAATTTGGACAAATCAAAATTGATTAGGTATCACGAAACAACGGGCGAATTTGCTTCTACAGATTTGGGGCGTATCGCTGCAAGATATTACATCGATTTTGAAACGATTTACAATTTCGCTATTTCTTTGAATCCCGAAATCACTGCTCCCGCTTTACCACAGGCTGACGTTGGTAACGAGGAAAAAAAGTTAAAGGCACTACCCGTGACAATAGAAGATGATTACATATTGGAGCACGTGTGTGAGTGCAAAGAATTTGAGACTCTATTGTATCGCAACGACGAACTTGAAGAATTAGCCGACCTCATGCGTTACAGTATTTTTAAACCAAGGAGAGGATTAAATCACATCACCACGAAAATAAGTCTTCTCGTTGAGGCTCATATAAATCGTACAACATTAAAGACATCTAGTCTTGTTAGTGACATGAATTATATTGCACAGAATCTGGGAAGACTTCTCTTGGCGTATTTTGAGGTGTCTGTATCTGAGACTGTATGCGCTCCACCCATCGGTGACCTGATATATAAGTGGTTTCTTATGTTTGAAAGGCAAATATGGTATCTAAAAAACAACTGGAAGGGTATTCTGTATCATTTTTGTCACCCATATCACGCCTCGTATGACAAGAACAAGATGCAGGCCAGTAAATTGCCCACCTTGTCGGAAGTAACAGCTGCCAGATTGTCAAAGTACAATTTGGAAACACTCATGGATTTAAGTCACAGCGAGATTGCTGATGCAGTAAAATCTAAAAGTGAGGCATCTGCGGTTCTCCAGTGCATCCGAGTTATTCCTTATCCACAAATGGTTGCATCCTGCCGCCCTATCACATCACGCATCGCCAAAATTGACATTACAATATCAGTAAAAAATAAGTGGAGTAAGCGCTGGAACGGGGGAAGTGAATCATTTTACATATGGATTTGCTCTGCTGATTTCATTTTAAACAAAACAAAGATAACCCTGACAGAAAAACACGCTAAGAATACGGTTGAAATGTTTGTTCCCCAGCGATACGAGGATAAATATATGACGCTCAAAGTGTTTTCGACGCGGTGGTTGGGTATTACACTAGAGCAACAGCTAAGACTACACAAGTTAGATTTTGTTGATGATGGCTATACAAAACTCTTGAAACTATGGCCGGTGCCAACTAAGTCGTTGAGTAGTCACCCATTCGACTACCATCACAGTTATTTCAATCCCTTACAGACACAGATATTTCCACATTGCATTTTCAGTGATGATAATTTGTTGGTGGGGGCGCCAACTGGTTCGGGCAAAACAGTTATTGCTGAGCTATCTATGTTTCGCCTATGGCGTACGCAGCCTCAAAAAAAAGTTGTCTACATAGCTCCGCTTAAGGCTCTGGCCTATGAGCGATTAAAGGACTGGAAAAAGAAATTCGGTTCTTTAAAAAGAGTGGTTGAGGTTACTGGAGACTCGCGTACGAGTGCTAGAGAGATCTCTAATAGCGATGTCATCGTTACAACACCGGAGAAATGGGATGGCATTTCTCGTCACTGGAAACATCGCAAATACGTTCGTTCAATAGGGCTCTTGGTGATAGATGAAGTTCATTTGCTCGGAGAGAGCAGAGGTGCGGTTTTGGAGGCTATAGTGACGAGGTTGTGCTTCATTTCTAAGTTCACCGAAACCAACACTCGTCTGGTGTGTTTGTCAACCGCACTTGCTAATCCTGTGCAAATAGCGGATTGGTTATCCGTAAAACCAACGAAACTCTTCAATTTCTCGCCAGCAGTGAGGCCGGTTACTTGTCATCTTTACATCAATGGATTTCCACTAAAGGCGTATTGTCCCAGGATGAATTCGATGAACAAACCGGCTTTTGCCACGATACTGAGGCATGATGCGTTGGCGCCAGTGTTAGTTTTCGTATCGTCAAGGAGACAGACCAGAACCACTGCTCAAGATTTCGTCAGCCTCCTCCAGGTAAAGTCAGTGACGTGGGCACGTTTCAACGTCATTGAGGAACCTTTCATAGATGATAACTTGAATTCATTTGTGGAGCATGGTATTGGGATACATCATGCCGGTTTGCACGACAATGATCGTATGCGCGTGGAAGAAATGTTCCTGAAAGGACACATCAAGGTATTAATTGCAACAGCAACATTGGCATGGGGTGTCAATCTGCCTGCAAAGATTGTCATAATTAAGGGAACCGAATATTATGATGGTAAAACCAAGAGGTATGCGGACTACTCCGTTACCGATATAATGCAAGTAAGTTTTGTGCATAACAAATAAAAAACGTATCAGATGGTGGGAAGGGCTGGGAGGAAAGTTTGCGACAAAGAAGCGTATGCTTACATCTACACGGAGTCTCGTAAAGTAGATTTTTACAAGGCTTTTCTGTTTTCCCCCTTTCCCGCGGAGTCTTCCTTCCATGAGCGGCTGATCGATAGTCTTAACTCAGAAATCGCATCTGGAACAGTTGCAAACCTACCTCAAGCCTTGAATTATCTCAAAAATACATTCTTTTACCGAAGGCTGCAGCGGAATCCGCAGTACTATTTGAATACAGAATTTCTTACTGGTTGCACTGTGGAATCGACTACTGAAGAGCTGGCGGCTTCCGTTGTTTGTAGAAGCCTACAACGGCTGGAAGAAATCGGTTGTATCTCAACTGCTTGCGGGGAGTTGGCTTTGTTTGAGGAGGACAAGATATTAGTACCTTCTATCATTGGCACCCTGGCGTCACAGTACTACATTTGTTGCCAAACTATGACTCATTTCACAGATGCCCTTTGCCAAAATACCTATTGTAACAGTATCTTCAAGATTTTGTGGATTTTATCAAATGCCAAAGAATTCAGCGAAGTGCCCCTGAGACACAATGAAGACATCTACAATATGCACTTATCTTCGACGGCTATGATGCCTATACCTGCATCTGAAGCCTCGAATCCGCATGCTAAGACCTTTTTGTTACTTCAGACGCGTCTTTTTGATTTGGACGTCCCTATTTTTGACTACAACAATGATCTGAAGTCTGTCTTAGATCAGCTACCCCGCATATGTCAGGTAGCTTTTGTTCTTGCGATGCCATAGTCCTCAGGCTCTGATTGACTTAATAGCTTGCTACCGCAACTTTAAGAACATAAAATATGCTATGATGCTCTACAAACATCTAACTGTTGGTGGAAACTTACTGGAACAACGTTGTTCGTTAGACGATGCAGCTGTTATGACAGTAAAGGTTGTGGACATACGACTGAGTCGACCGTTGCGTGGGATTGCCATGTCTGAAAGAGGTAGTTAAACTGTTGTGTGTTTTTAATTCAAAGCAGATGGATGGTACAGTTACGATGTAACAGGTGTGAACGAGGTGGATGTTGTTGTATGCGTATCGAACGTGTCGACAAACGATGCACGATATATAACATTAGGAGGTCAGCGCTCCGATGTACTCTATGGGTTCAAAAAAATCACAACCTCGGGGAATTACTCATTCAGGTATGTAATACAACTGAGGTTTAACTATGCGCAGAGTGAAACTTGGTTATTTACGTGGGCACGTAGTGACCAGGGTGATTTTAACCTCATGCACGTCGTACACGTTTGATCAGCAAAAAACTCTAGTTTTATCGGCTAGATAATCTTAAGTCAGTTGTTGTTTTGTTACACGATGATACTTATTGGAATGCTGATAAATATCATGTATCAGCACCCTGGTATTGCGATCGCGGTAGACCCAGAGCACCTGGGTAATCACAAAGCATATGAATAAGGTGTACACGTTTAACAAAACACGTGAAAGTAGTACAATCGCTATATAAACCGGTTTTAAAAGGCGAAAAGTACACGTTTCAATGCAAGAATATAAATGCGTCGTCATACCACCTTCACGATTGGCGCTTTTTCCCATCGCGAAGTGTGGAAGCCATAGCAAATACGAATTATCCGGGGGTTTATTGTTCAGGCAAATACAACCATATTTCCTACAACAATTCAATAGTCTAAGACGTTGTAAGAGACGCATAAAACCACTCATACGCATAATTGGCACAACCAGGCTGCAGTAACCTTTCCTTCGCTGTGGAACCATTCTGTCAACGTGACAACTGTTCTGTTGTATAATCTTAGATAATTCTTCACCATCTTTGATGAAACACGTGAGGGTAGAGAATAAATCCGTTACCGGTTTTTCTATACAACCCCGAGTAACGAACGGTATATTTGGCGGTTTGTGCAAAAAAACAACTTGAACACATTTAACACTCAAAGTCTTAAGGAGAACATCCACATGTTGGAGTACGGCTTTTCCACGTTCATCCATATGGCTTGCTGAATAATCCTTGCTCTGGATTTTATCCGTTAAATAATTAAGCTGTTTCAGATAGGTCTCTAGAACAGCGCCGAGTTGTTGCGCCCTCCTGTTGAGCTGGTTTGCAAACGTCTCCAAAACTTTTACACGTTCTGATAATCGTAGCAACACGTGTTCGTGCCCTTGCGACCTTTTGTTGGTATGTGCCCTTTGTTCGTTGCCGCTTATAGATGAACTCTGTGCGGGTTTCCACCTGCAACTCTTGCTCTCATGTTTAGACCGCGCAATATCCATTGAAACATTTTGTGTTGAATTGCTACTACTTAAGGAAAACGCAATGCGCATCAGCAAACTAAAATCTTTTGTCACCCGGGATACCACATTATCTCTATATTCGACGTACGACTTAAAAAAGAGATCCATTAAATATCTCATATTATTTACATTTTCAAACACGTGGATATTCAGAGTTAAAGCACACATATGACGCGATAGAACCATTGAAGAAAAGTTACCAAAAGGAAGAATTAACCTCAGACCTTTCACAAATACATTGCCGTCAAAAACCTTTGCAACCCCCTTCCTAGAGACCGGCACAACTTGTTTTAGTCTCTGATCGCTGAAAAATACATACAAAGCCTTGAAAGGTAAGTCAGGATCAATTACGGGTGATAGTCCAATGATTTTGCGCGTAGATAGCAGCGTAAACGCAGTATATACAAAGTGAGAGTAGCACGTGAACCTGCCTAAAAGTCCAGGGTCACGCACACAAATAAGGAGCGGTATGTTCATGATTCCACGCAATGCCCAGGGCACTTTTGAGTCTATCCACCTCTGTTTTACCATTCGATAAACCATTTTCTCAAACCAGGTATGTTTCAATGGTAATTTTACATGGAACATCATATTCCAGCATCGCACATTAGAAGTTGGTCGATAAACAGAACGTACCCTTTTCGCATTCCATGTTGATATAAGGCCATACACTCCACATTCTTCTGTTTTCATAAACCTCAGCATACGCAGATAAAGGCGTGGGTTCGTGCCATAACTATCCCTCCTTGAGGCCATACATTTCATGAATTGGAAGAGCGATAGACGTATTGTGAAATCTATGACCATCGCACGAGCACGGCAGTGAATCCCCAATCGTTCGCTCATACGATCCCCGACGAAGCAACCGCTGCACCTGTGGGTAGTGCGTTGAGGTTCCGCTAAATAATTGCTTGCGGTATTATCAACGTTCATATTGGGCAATTCAATTTCCTCTCTTATATTCGGATCATCCAACACAAAATCCCTTTTGTCCTGTATGTTATTCCCATTTGCGATTTCACTCTCTAGTACATCTACCGCAGTACTACCGTACACTTTCATACTGGTTAGTGAACAGTAGTAGTTATCATCGGAATTGTGAAAATCTAGGAACTCGACTTTCAGGTACTTTGCCCAGCAGCCGACGCTTTCCCCTTTGTCACAAATCACAGAAATGTCGAAAACCTCGCTTTGGCCAATCTTCGTTTCCATTTCCGCTAGCACAAACCATTTTTCACTAGGGTATACCAGGGATCTAGATATTCGTATAACTTTATAAGTAGAAGCATAATATTCGTATGAAACGAACGCGACATGTTTCACCGAGATGCGTTCTGGAAAGGATATGATGAACCAGTCGATTTTCCGGCATGGAGCCAATAGATAGGAATTGGGGTCATTATTTTGAATCCTTTTCAAATGGATTAAATCCTTTGATTGCGCCACGATCTTTGCTCCGGCATCTTCTGATGCAAAATCAACCTTCAGTTTGAAGGCGTGATTATCGAAGGGTTTACCTTTGAGCTTTTGCGGTTTGTAATTACTTGATGTTCTGCCACAATAGCGAACGGATGGAGTTCCATTTTTTGACTTGTGAGCGATATTTCTTAAACAAATATATAGCGTGAAAATAAAGAAAAGAAATTGGATTATATATCTTTTTTTATGTTTCTGCGTAAGCAGTATAGACATGGTTGTACAATGGACAATGACGTAACGCGGTGTCTCATGCTATTTTATATTTTGAAACGTTAGGCAGGGAAAATATTGATCTGCAAAAGTATGTGTGGACATCTGCAATACGTCGTGTGCGACAATGTAATATTCTTCGGTATGGGAACCACGGTAATAAACTAATCTATTATATAATATGCTAAAAAAATTAAAGAGTTATACACATCACCGTACTTTTTTAATGTCACGCTGTTTTTTGGACCTAAGCCCTCAATGTTTTCACTCAGCCAGGTCCTTCTCCGCTGCAACAGCAAACGACAACCCGTACGGCTCGTAAGTTGTGTAAACAGTGGATACATTTATATAACTCATATTTCCCCGAATAAAGTTAGGCATCGTATTGTACTACGGAAGTACGACCCACGGGTCAACAAACACGTGTTAGTTCCGAATCTGTAATATCTAGTATTATGCAGCATATTTTACCAAACAACCATAGCAGGTCAAAAGATACGTACAACACCTGCTTCTGAGCATTCATTAAAATACGCGCGACTCACCGGAAAAACGAAGAACATGAGACCGCTATTGGCCAAGATTCAACGCGCATACGACTACGGCCGCTTTAATCCGTTCGACAAGGTCTACAGTAGACTGGTAAACACACGAGGCGCTGTGGAGAATCGTATGGGCTGACAATGGAACGCCGTAACAGCACGTAATTTGTTCAAACTACGGCTAAGGTAACACAGCGCCTATATGACATTAGTGACTCAGTACATTTTAATGCATCGTAGCCCCGAATTTGCGTTTGTAATTGCCGTGTAGCCCTGGTTCTAGCAGAGGAATGTGCAAGTCTTCAAAGGGCGAAGTACCAACAAAAGATGGTGGACCTTGTGCGTATTCTTCCACATCTGGCATACACAAAAAATTACAAAGACATGGCCTTTTGCCTTCGTTTGATGCCACACTCCCGAAATTAATTTGACTATTCGCCGTTTCCAGCCTCAAGGGGACGTACGTAGGAGACCGGTTGACCTTGTTTGAGTCCATAGCGTATATGGTTGAAGAAAACAACAACATCTGATTGTCCCAAATGTCTTTTGCTAGCTTACTACTGTAATCAAAGATTACGGCTTTTATCTGGTTGTGCGTTTCCTCCAGCATACCAAATAGGGTCTTATGTACATTGATGTGACACAGATACAGCCATGTGGCAAAATTGAGCAAGAACATTCCAAAAATGCACCAGAATCCCTCGTATTGAATTGCAGCGTACCAATAAAGATTGGAAATTAAGTCGGGGTGGGCTAACGGAACCTTGTGGTACATACGGAAACGTCTGTCGTAAACGAACGCCGTTGCGCCCAAGGAGAGTACCACGTTGATGAGAACGGGTACATAAATCCTGACAAACATAATCCTGTACCTCAGAAATGCGATTTTGTGCCATGTGTTGTCTACTTGGTAGTTGTCAAACTTCGAGGACGCCTCGTCAAACGCCCTTACTAGATTTTGCTCCGTTTGTGTACACGCATGTGTTTGGATGCGATAAAGACGTTTAACGTAATCCGAAAAATGTTCCATAGCACGTTGTTTGCTGCCGTAGAGAAATTCGCGTTTTGACAGTTCCACAGAGATGAAACACAACCTCCAAAGATAGCGGCGAATTCTTGCATGTGTTGCATAAAAACCTATCACTTGAATGAACAAATACAAAAATACTCCCACAAAGAAGAAATTCTCAAATTCACTTAAATGGTCTATCACGGTCTTTGTGCCCTTCATGAGATATGTTCCTGCATCCTTAGTTCTGTCTGTGTCTGGGATATGCTCGGACAAACTCCACAAACTTCCGTAAAGCCGGAATTGACAACAAAGGTGAAATAAAGCTGGAATTAGCAACGCTATAAACATACACCCAAGAGATATCGTTGTATATATAGTAGATACGCAGTGTAAACCACCGATAATGTTCACTGGACCTGAATCGGTGGAATAGCGTGTTTTATGCTTAGCGATTCGTGGCTTATGGCCACCGAGTCCGTATTCCACTGTTTCCTTGGGTGGTAGATATTCAACCGTGTCATTGGCGAGATATTTTGCATCAACCATAGATTCCAATGTGTTCAGTGGTATGGTTTGGTCAAAGTGACCTCCGATATGCAGCACGTCCTCCAATTTGCTGCCGATGGCCGGTCTAGGTGGCGACAAAGACTTTCCCCTTGCCGTAGTAACTGAGTGACCTGCCACCGATTTTAAATCATTAGAATTGAAGCGGGGGGTCCCGTTCTCGATTGAGGTGGTGTATGAAACTGCGCAAATGGAATCCAATCCACGGCACGAACTCTCAGAATTGATGTTATGGTGTACCCTAGAGCTGTTCTCCTCGTGAGGCAGATTATGTACAATATCTGACATCATGGCATTGTATGCCTCCATTCTCATGAACACAAAACATAATACACCGTCTGTATCCTGCGAGGCTTATCAAGAAGGGCCGCAATTTATCTCACCGCCTTTTAAGAAATAAAAACGAACCAAAAGGGTGTTAGCATTAGCCAAAACTAGCGGCGTCAATCTGCTTAGCGCAATGTTTTTTAAAGCGTTGGCATCATGCGTTCAATATCCAACTTCTCATATCCATATAAATTTGCTTTGCCCCCAGACACGATGAAACATATTTTGCGTATCTACCAAATTTAATATATGCATAACCCGCTAAATCGGTGGATGACGTCACCCAGAAATCAAACACACACGTCAACAATGTGTAGGTATTGTGCTACTCTATGTTTGATGCAGACGTGTAGTCTATTGTCTTTATTCATGATTGGTAACATTAAAGGAACTATGTTTTATGGCATGAATTTCCTAAATTGCGGGAAATCTGTCAAATAATGTGTTATGATGATGCAACAAATCAGCGTCAGGGTGGACTTATGGAGACTAATTCTTCCATCCATGTCTCAATCGTTATTCATTACATTTTGAATGCTTCATGAATACCTTTGAATCGTTGAGAACCTTAGTGATGTGTATTTCGTCACAAGACTTTGCTGCACGACTACCATTGAAGGCTAACCACTTTATGAGACAACAAGCAACTGCAAATACGTTTACATTACCAAATATGGAGGGTGTGTAACGAATTTATTGCAAGATTGCTGTGTTGTGACGCCACTTTAAAAGGCCGGTCTAGTCTAATTTTTTTTCTATCTCGTTCGTCTATGTATCGCTAACCATGCATAATAACATCACTTTAGTTTTGTAATGCAATAGTTCCACATATATATGAACGTTACCATCTTGATTTGTAAAGGCATTGTTGCATAGGGTCCAAGATCTTTTTTTCTTGGTTCACCTGTCTCATGCAGTTCATGAAACCTACAAATTCTTTTATGAGGTTGTATATACTGGCAAAAAAGGAAAAATACAACATAAAAGACTGGCAAGAACTTCTAGTAAATGTTTATCGGAGGGTTAACGACAAAAAAACAATAAAGGATGTTTGTCTGCTTTTTTACGCAATCGCTAAGGCTTCTAGGCAAGAGGAATTGAAGGCTTTGAGAATCGTTTCCCGAATAGACACCTCCACAAGATGCTGCGATTTCGGAATACACGATATCATAGATGCTTACGTCGGCCACTTGCATGAGCTCATGAACTACATGAACACCAACCAATTGGCAATGCTGGTTCAGTCGTTAGTTGTTCTCGGAAAGTTAGATGACAGTCTATCCGCTATCATTGTGAACCGGGTCATGACAAGCCGTCGATTCCTTTCACACCGTTCATTATGTGTACTAGCTTTGGAGTTAGCGAGGTGTCGTTCAGTTAGCACTGACGTTATAGAGTCTATGCTGCTCGAAAATGTCGATCTTATTGGTCATATGAACAAGTTGGACACTTTGACCTTATGCAAAGCAATGCACATACGAAATATTACAGAAAAAAAAATTGTTTCCAAGCTTATAACCAAGCTTAACTGTTATGTTAATCAACTTTCACCGAGAGACATTTTAATCATGTTGACTTGGATGTGCAATACAGGGATCAGGAATAGAGACTTGCTAGGTGAAATACGTTGCTATGTGAGGATACGTGTGGACAGTTTTGACGTCCGGGGTTTATGTGCCGTAGCTCAATGTTTAGCCAGACTTGACTCGTATCATTTTAAGGAATTCAATTCGCTCTTCATATACCCCGAAGTCAAAAAAAAAATGGATTCGGGTCATAGCAGGGTGCATAACAAGTCAATTCTTCGTTATTATCTCACAGTTGCGGACTTAAACTACACGATTCCCTTGAAGCCGCTTGAATACATTGTAGAAACCCTCTCGAAATCGGATGAATGGGTATTGTTTTTCCAGGTGCTTCAAGCATATCAATCAAACGACGCATCGCATTCACCAATTTACGTGTACGCACGTCGACCAGCTGAAAGTTTGACGGGTACAGAGTTAAACACGTTAGATATCGAAAAATTCTGGAGAAATGGGCTGGATCTATTCCTTCGATGGCTTAAGACATACAACGCCTATACTGATCTTGGGTACATCACAGGTTTAGTTGTAAATTCTGGGAGATGCACTAACAGATTTTCTAGCAGTATTTTGGAGGTAGCATTGGAAAATCTTGGCAAGTTTAGCACTGACAATTTAGCTGATATCGCATATAATCTCCACTTTCTGCGAAATAGGTTATTTTGTCGCCTTACGTCAGCCATTACAAAACGCCAAGATGAACAGAAATTGGAAAGTCGTCTTAAGATCATGTCGGTTGGAATCAATTACGGTGTGGACGTTGATCGCAACCTTTTACAATTAAAAAACATCTTGAGCAGTGGTCATTTAGGGGTATGCGTTCAGGTGGGATGCTGGACAGTGCCGGAGTTAGAATCATTGTCTCCACACCGATTTCGGGGAAGCAGTCAATGTAAGAGTCTCACTAGTGTACCACAAGAAGTATTGTGCTATTGTTTGGCCTCTATAATTTTGCACCGCGAATCGTGTGATTCAGAACAAGTCAACTATAGAATTCATAAAAAAGGTGTTCAGATATCGAATGTCTTATCTCCTTATAAGGACGTAATACTGGGTCTTGTCGAGCAATTGCAACCGGAATCACAGTGGTTGCAACGCCTCTTATATTGCATTTCAATTATAGACAAGCCTCTCCACGAAGCAACACCCATGCATCACCGAAAGTGTACGCCAACACCAGAGGTATTCACATCACTTGGTCTATCTACTGACGAAAGCTCAGAAAGACCATACTTGAATAATATACACGTCAAATTAGGAGATAGTTCTTCAGTACTGCCCCTTATTATCACTGATTATGGCTCGTTTGTCTCTTTGTATCTAGGGGGTGTGACTACTATGTGGCACAAAGTATGGTTACATATTCTGCGCGTGGTATCACAGGACGCAGGATACACAGTGATTGAGCATGATTGTCCATTGAACGTGCTTTTAAAAGACGTGAAATTCATTAAAGCGTATCGTGAGTCAATTGTGCCATATACTTGATCTTATCATCAGAAGTGTATCTCTTCAATGCTGTATTCACCAAACGTGACGCATCATCTCCCTTGCGCATTTTGTTTAACAATGAAATGACATCTTCATGCTCATTAATAAGACCTACCAGTATTTTCGCCGCGTTACGTAAAGTGCTACTTCCGGCTTTCAGTGAATTTAAAACCATGTCCATTATTTCGGGGAGAACTTTTAGTTTCACCAAGTTGGATCCCATGCCATCCGATACTATAATCATGCAATTTAAAAGGGTGAGCTGGGCGGATTTGTTCCTGAGTTTGAATGGCCATGACGGTGTGATTAAACTTACGTTTTATACATCTTCAAAATAATGCTGCACAACTTCAACGCTGGGCTAGAAGAACATATTTTGGCTAACGTCGAATTTGCGGAAGTAGTAATGAACTCAGGTGATCCAGATGCTGCCTTTCGTACACATACATCCAAAACTTCACCAAGTGGCTGGGCAATAGTCGCTCCTTGCGACTTGTAAAGATTTCCGAGGCAGATAATACCACTGTTTGACAGGTTGGACCTTGCACTGTTAGCGTGTGTCGCAACGGTACGCACTGCAAGAATCAAGGCCGCAGGGTCACATTCTGAAAGCAGTTCCGGGTATTTTCCCGTTAAATTGCATAGTTCTGTGTGGCATTTGATCAGTTCAGCCCATTTTGATTCATTCAAACTGGTGATTTTTTCTAGAAGCTTGGATACGGTTTCCATTGTAGGCTTCGTAGGCTCCACCTGCATGAAATCTATTTGCCATGCATGCTTCACAAACCTTGCGTCTGACTGGGATTCTCGTAGTACCCCTTCTTAGGGGTGCAGGTCTTGCTTTGGGTCGTACCGGTTTAGATGCAGGCGGAGAGGTGGTGGTGTCTGCATTCAGAGAGGGCCTTTCACCTTGCGGGTTTGTCTCACCGCTTTGATCTAGATTGTCAAATCGTTCGGATTCGTGCTCATTCGCTGCTGGCTTGAAGGTGGTTTGTTGGCGCAGCTTTCCGTTAATCATTGGTTTTCGCTCTTGGAATGCTTCCTCATCAAATATTCCATCTGTGTTGCCAATGATGGTCGGTATTCCATATCCTAAGTTAAAATCTGGCGCTACGTCACTGTTATCATCGAAATTGAATTCTTTTTTATTTGGTTTTGGAGTTTCTATGTTCATATCACTTGAATATGGCTTTTCCATTTGAAAAGATGAACCTTTTTTGGAGGTAAGATCCTCTGACGACCTCCGTTGTTTAGTCTCCGCGGCACCATCTTTTATCGCTGTAGCGTCGATTGAAACGGTAGGTTGAATGTGATTCTCCCGTATTCCTTCTGGATAGGTAGTGTCTCGCCTGCTGCTAAGTTGTGGTGATGTTTCATTCGCATCTCGTTGATCGCAGCCGTGAATTTGGGAAGAAGGTTCATTATATTTCGCGGTTCCTTCATTTGTTGATCGAAATACCGAACGAGATTTTTCAATGGCAACGTCTTTTATAGTTGTTGACCCTTTGAATGAATCGTCTTCCGCTGCAGAAATTTGACGGATCACGGACGTATCTACGAGGTCATTACATTCTCTGGTATGCTGTGGTGACTTTATCTCTTCAGATTGATCAATGGCGTGCTTTATGTCATTCGTTTCCCACCAACATTTTGAATTGAGATTATCCGCTTTAGACCTAACCGCGTCATCAAAAGTAGCGGTTACGAATTCTTTTCCATCACGTTTTGGTTCATTTGTCTTGGTCTCAGAGGTTTTCTTTTCGTAGTTTGCCGCTACTACTGTCGGCCCAGTTACGTCCGGAGATTCGTTTCCTGCATCGTCACCTTTTACCGCGGTACCTATTGGCTTCGCCGTATCGGGCCTGCAACAGTGAAGTTAGGACTTTCGCAGTGTTTTCTTACTACGTCGTGTAATTTAACAAACGATTAACAAGCAAAATGCAGGTCGTGTACATCTAGACACACAATGTGCGCAGCAAAAGTACGGCTGAAACACGCCGACAGCGCACTCCACGTTGAGTCGGCTGTTAGCCGTCAAAGAATTCGAGGACACCGATCACGAACTAAATTTTTTCAGACGGTGCGTCCACAGCATGTATACCTCAACACTAATCGTTGATCACTTGAGCTCATATATGTAATTGTGCCAGACGACGGCCCGCTTTAAACGTACGACGGTAGACTTACTCTATTACATTGTCGCAGATATCTATTAATGGAGACTCGCCTTTCGGTGCTTTTCGAGCCCAGCAACACCAACATCCCACCATTTTATAAAGTGTAAATTGATTTTACAAGGTTAACGCGTACGCGTCGCAAGTCTGTCTCGACGGCCCGTCCTCAATGTTCTTAATTTTCAATTTCTGGTAATGATTGAATCACTGATGAGAGCTCTTCTTCTGTATACTCGCGATACTGTTTGTCTTCAATACTTATACGGGCCATTTCTATGTTTTTCGTGGTCATCTTATCCTTCATGACTTGACGCAGCACCTCCAAGACCAGCAATTCGGCATCTGTATTACATGGCCTATATAGCAATTAACACACCTCTGAGAGTCATGTCCTCACGATACCGTTCTTGGAGGATTGTCTCGGCGCCCTCCTGGGCAGAACCTATAGCTGCCGCTCTATACTTTATGCTTGTGCCAGAGGGATCGACACACCAGATAGCAGGGCCCTCATCATCCACTCCACCAACCAATAATGCCACACCAAACGGTCGACTCATTGTTTTTTTCTTTTTTGTGTCGAAAATATCTGTTACAACTGTGGAATCCTTGTCAGCGGCTCACCAGAGAACTCTAACGCCAAATCGGCAATGGCGTCAACACAGGACCGTATGGCCATGGGTTCATTGTAGACAAATGTGTGATTCGCGCACTCCGATCGTCCATGGTCAATCAACGTACGAGCATCAGCAATTAGCCCACTCATGGTGCATCCAATATGACGGTCTATTTCCATTATCTTCTCGAGTGAAATAGATTCCATCAAAGGGGAACTGACTCGGTGCTCCGAGGCGAAAATGATGCCTTCATCTGTTGCAATCGCGAGCGCCGTGCTTCCGAGCTTTATGGCTCCTAGCGCGTACTCCACCTGAAAGATTCGTCCCTCCGGGGAGAAGGTGTTCACACCCCTGTCATACTCATTCCTAGATAGAAATAATTTGCGATACGAGCGTACTCACCTTGCTGTAAACATCTCTGTGTGTTGAAAAATGACGGCTGTCTAGCAGCCTACAGCCAGTGGGTTCACTGGGGCACCGCTGAGGATCGATATAGCCGTTTACTACTGCGGCAACCTTTTTGATATGTAAAACTAAACTATCAGAGTTAATCTTTCAAGTTCTTATTGTGCGGTGAACGTGTCATCTTTGTAAAGTGCTTTCCCCGCACACAGGAATCGTGCTGTCAGAACGCCTGAAGCAAATCGTTGTTTAAGTACCGTAGCGGTGTCGACCCTGAACTGTATGGATTGCCTGGGTTTTTTAACCCGAATCAAGCCTTTATTTTTATGTGGAAGCCACAGAATTCCCAC